AACAAAACAAGGAAGTGATTCTTACAAAGCAACAGCAAATACATGAAGGAATTTTTAAATGGATGCTATTTCTGGTTAGATTAAGGGACCCAATGACAAGTAAAAAACACCTGTACTGGGACAAGGGCTCACTGGAGTCATCTGTGGGGTCTACGACAGAAACAGAAACTTGGCACAGGGAAACAAACACTTCTGGCTCTAGGATCATCGTAATCATCATCTTGGGACTCTAGGCATGATCACAGCCTAGTTGAAGCTCCATGCTCGGTCTTGGCTCCTTTTGGAGCTGCTGTTTTCCTGTATCTGCACAGTAAAGATGTACTGAAAGGTTCTGCTGAACATCCTTAGTGATACGTTTCCTTCCCCAGCCCACAACCTCCCTCCAGCACACAGTGGAAGGATAATCAGATTAATGCTGAGATTGGGGGTGGAATCTTGAGATCTGCTTCACAGCATTTAAAGTGAGGAAGAGAAGCCCTGGTGAAACAATGAGTTTTAACACCTAAACCCCGAAGCCATTTCCTGTGCTTATCTATGCTCTTTTGTCTGACTCTGCTGGTTCGCAAGGCTCAGGAGAACAAGGAGAGCACTTGTCTCTTTCATCAGTGTTGCAGAAGACTGGGCCCTGTGGAGTGGCAGCACATCATTCCTGGCATGATTACTGCTAACTGAAATCTTTTCCCAGGCACCAGTAGGACACATGCATTCTCGGGCTTGTTAGGGTACAACACTTGTCCAGTCTGGAAGATCTAGGTCAGTCTGGGCCTTTGTCCAACCTTCTTGGTAGTAGAGTGGCAAGTGTCACTTACAGACTGGTCCTACATCCCTTCTGAGCTCTGCTAGACTTTGAAGCCTGGTTAGCAGCCATAGATGGCCAGCCATGAGATCTGAAATTGATATGCCACTCAACAGTTGCCTCAGTTTCCCTTTGTGATGAGACCCCCTTTCTCCGAACAAGAGCCCATTTATCTGAGACATCCAACTAGCTCTTCCCCAACCCTTCCCTTGGTGGGCTGGATGACACTCTCTTTTAAATTAGCTAATGGCACAGCTTTCAAATAAGCTGATGGCACAGAGCCGTGGAAGCCATCCATGCCCAGCTTTGTTGTGACAACTCTGACTCTTCATGACCCTCTCTGCAAGCTGTAACAAGGGTGAGCTCCAGCACCCTTTCCCACACTGTGCCTTCAATGGGCAGCTTGATCATTTCCCTGGCCCTGTCCCGTCATCTTCGTCATATCCCCACGTCTGTTTGTGGACAACACCCCGCCCAGCATTCCTTGCATACAGATAGATCTGTCCTGACCTATGCAGCCTCCATTTCTATTCCCACACCCCAGGACGCCATCCACTGCCTCAAGTCTTGTGCCACCACGCTGGTACCTCACTTGAAGACCATTGCCTTCTTCACTGCTGCCCATGTGACTGTCATGTCTTCTTTCAGGTGTAAACTAAGCACATAGCTTTTTCATCGTGGTGTGTCCCTAAAGTCACTAATTTGCCTACTAGATGCCCCGTCGCTGTTTGCTGACCAGATGAAGAAATTATAGACCAACGCTAACTATAAACAAAACGGAGTGTAACAGTCTCGCTGACTCTCTGGCCCGCTGCTCAGGTTATACTTCACCTCCTGTATTATTCACTGTAAAGCACAGTCTTTCCCAGTCAAAAGAGGCCAGTAGTTCCCACTGCCTATTGCATTAAGGCCGAGTTTCATTTGAATCCCTCCTGCTCCAACTCCTGTGCCAAGCCTGACCTGCACTCGGCCAGCATTATCTTCCTGCTCCTGGCCTCCGTAACTTCTACCTGATACTGTCCACAATGATCTGTTCATCTCCACTTTCTTCTGCTCCCGTTTGTCCCAGCCTTGGTGTGTGAATTTCTTTAAAATGTTATTTATTTTAGTATGTATATGCGGTGGTGGGAGGGCGTCGGGGTCAGAGGACAACTTTCAGAAGTTGGTTTTCTCCTTCCAGTATGTGGGATCGAACTTGGGTCCTCGGGCTTGACCACAGGTGCCTTTACAAGATGAGCATTCTCTCTGGCCCAATGTCTGCTTTTCTTCACCTTTGAAACTTTTGTTTTCTTTCCTTTACTCCCAGCTTGATGCTTAGTATAGTTCTTCTATTTGCCTGGCTGAAACTCAGCACTTAAATATTTTAGGATAAAAAGTTCTATCCCTTAAATATTGCTCCAGATTTTATCTGGCAAGACACTTGTCTTCTAAAGTCCTTTGGGGTGGTCTACACGCTTGTTTGTGGAAACCATGTGGTTGAAAGAATGAAAACAATTAGCTGTTCAAACTTCTTGCAAAAAAACTGTAGGAAAACCTTGAAGTTCAATCTAGGTGTTTCCAAGCAGAGGAGATAAGAGGTAACAAACCCGGTACATGGTGTGTATGGGTAGGGTAGAGAGATGGAAAATGTTATTAGAGTTGTAACAAATTTAACTTTGTTCCTCTGGGATCTGAGAGGTCTTTCTTTCTTTCTTGAGAGATGTTTACTAATAATATCAAAAGCTACTTGTCATATTTACCTTGTGCCAAGAATGAGATAAATTCTTGCAAGCATGACTCCTCAAAACACCTTAATGGTTTCTCAGATCAGGAAAAGGTGGCTCTGAAAAGTTAGGAATCAAGTCTTGAAACCAAGAGGTAGAGGCAAGATTTGAACATCAATTCAACTCCTCCATAGCCCATTATCTCAAACAACTGCCAGATATTTTGATATTTTGTTAGTTTCTGTTTTCTATTTTTTGTATGTTTGGTGGGTTTTTTTGAGACATTGTCTATTTTCTTAAAATCTATTCTTTGCAAATTTCTCTTGGGGCATATTTTACAATCAACATAGTAGTCTGTGCTTATTATTTGGGAATTCAGACTAAAAGACAGCGATACCCAATTGCAACTTGCCAGTTTTTTCTGTTACCTTACATTATATTCATATTGCTTCATATCTATAGGTCATATATCTCTCAGGGAATTTGCATTGTCCTTGAAGTTAAGAATTATGTTTTAAATTTATACTTTACCTCCCACAGTGGGCCTAACTGTGTCATACCAAAATTCTCACGAATATTACCCTCTAGAGAAAAGCCAAGCTAATAAAAATTGTTCGGAGTAGATTTTTAGTTATTCGGGAGAAGGAGAAATGGCTTCCAGATACTGCACCTAGAACAACATAGCAACTGAAAATAATTCTTTTGTGCAAGCATGGAAAAAGTTACTGCAAACCCCTAAAGAATTGGGATTCAACACCCCAACAAGGTCCTGTTGGGCTAGAGCCTTCTTGTCTGGAAAGCTCTAGAGAAGGGCAGAGTTCCATTCTGTAGGTGTCAGTAACCCATGCGTGGGCTCCCTCTGCTGACAGAAGAAGGATGCTTTTTATCTTTGCAGTTCTTGGTTCAGGTGTGTCACTGCTCACAGTGTATGTCCTCAGTCAGCTCTTAGTTTAATAAGGGAGAACAAAAATCCTATTGGCTCTTTCTCCCTTTGAAGCAGCCAAACACACACCCATTCTTGTTCTGGCATAGCTCACCGGCCCCCAGAGCCAGACTCTGTATACACTGCTGTCAGAGAGGCTCTACACACATTCTGGTGTGGCAAGGACAACCTTGATTGTCCTCAGTGTTGCACACAAGCCTGGTTTCCCACAGTCCTGCTAATGCTATGTCAGTATTGTTTTTCATAGATAAGAATTTTTAAATTTCAGCCAGTGGAAGGAAGCAAATATCTACAATTCTTTGATTTGTTGAGTTGAAATAATTTCTTGCACGTCTTTCCTTACATATATGGTTTTCTCTATTCCCCTTTCTCAGAACTTTAGGAGTATGAGTCATAATTGTTAATCATGTCAATGATTCCTCAAAATTTGAGATTCTGCGCCAATGCCCCCAGGCAAAACTCTTCTTATGGTTTTCCCACAGAACACTGAGCATCTCTTTTCCTACTTGAGCTGTGAACAACTTTAAGAACCACTGGAGAACTTAACATGTCACCAGAATATGGCACATTGCAGCCTTCATAAAGATACTATTTAGAAATGGCTGGTTTTATTTTATTGTTTATTTATTGTTTCAGGGGTATTGCCCGTTTTAAGAGGCATAACAATGTTTAAATCCTTGTTGTTAAAGAAATGGTTTATATGGAATGAAATAGGCTTGGCATCACAGGACTCTGTCACTGTTTGTAGAGGCAATCCACCACTAGTGTCATTGCACGCTCTTGTTGGGTGTGCCAAGAATGCAAGACTTGATCACTCTTTCTTTGGGCCTTTTTTTCAGAGTTGTGTTTGCAAGGAGCAATTTTGAGAAATGAGGTAATGTCTCCCTGAAGAACAAAGAACAGGCTTGCTTACTGCTCACTATAAAACATAGTAGTTTCCGAGCTCAGCATTTCTCTCCTATAATGAAAACCATTTTGTGTTCAAGCATGCATCTGGGGCCCATATGCTTTGTTCCTGAGAGAATCTGAGTTCAGGGAACCAACATAAACAGTCTGACCCTCTGGCTATTGCTTTTGCTGTCCATACAGATAAACCCATGGAAGATAATATATATAGCCTGCAAGGTAGGATAAAATCTGACTCTTCACAGTTGACCTCACTAGATGGGGCCTCAATGTGTGTTATTTAAGTTATTACAGCTGCGGTTTTCCTTTCTAGAAATGGAGTGCTGGTACTTGTCCTTGAACATAACAACGCCCTCGACCACTAAACTCTTCCAGAGAATTCCCTTCTCCTTTAAGTGCACCGTGCTAGGTAAGGATGCCTGGTTCTGCCTGGCAGGGACCACCCTGTGGACACTGACGGGACGATGCGGGTCTGGTGTAGAGGTGTCAGCATCAGGTCGCTCCACGCGCTTCCCATGCAGGCGGGGCCCGGAGAGGCGCTCGCTGATTGGAGCCCAAGCCGGGGCTTTTGTCTGGCAGCGGCCGTTGCGTAGCAACCGGGGTTTCATTTAGATAGTTCTCTCCGCGTGGCTTCGGGGTAGCTCTGATGGAGATGGGGGTCGGGGATGGGGGGCACTGGGGACCCACTCCTCCCCACGCAGCAGCTCGGATTCCCGGTGACCCCGCCCTTCTAAGCCGAGGTGCCGGGTCGTTCGCTGGCCGCGGCGCCCGGGGGAGGCTCCGCCATCGCGCTCGGCCGCGCGCCCTGCAGCCGCGGTGCTCGCCCCCGCGCGCCCCCACGCGCGCCGTCGGCCTCGGGAGGCCGCCCACTCGGACGCGCGTGGGGGACGCGCGGGCATCGGCGGCTGCGCGGCGGCTCCTCCTCGGAGGCACAGCGGACCGGCTGCCGGGAGGATGCCTCGGTGCGGGGCGCGTCGCCCCCCTCAGGCCACCAGAGCCCGGATACCTCAGAAATTCGGCTCTGGGTCTGTGGGGAGCGAAATGCAACCCAAACCCCGTTTCCCCCGAAGCCCCGCGCAGATAAACACGCACAAGCACGCACACAGACGTCGCCGCGGCCCGCACTCGCAGCCGCAGGTTCCTGCGTCCGGGAAGAGCCCGGGGACCAGACGGGGTCGCTGCCTTCGCCTGGCAGCCCCGGGCGCGGCCGCTCGCCCTCGCCGCTCGCAGGTGCGACGGAAGTGTCCGGCGTCACCGGCCCGGAGCAACGGCGCAACGGCCGGTCGGGGCCTGCAGCCTCGGCGGCCCGGGCGGGGCGGGAGCGGCCGCCCGACACAGCTGGTAGGCGGGGGCGCGGGGCGGGCGGGGAGCCGGGGAGGGACGGGCGCTACCGGCGTCAACGGCGGGCTCCCGCGGCGCTCTCCGGACCCTCGGCCCGCGGCCGCCCCTCCGCAGCCGCGGCTCCCGGGAGCTTGGGCGCCCGCCGGCCCCGCTGTTCCAGCTGGAGGTGTGTTAGGTGCAGCGGCCGCCGGGCTCCGACTGCGGCGACAACCGAGATTGCGGTGGGCCGGGCGCGGGGCCGTTGCCTCTGGCTTAATACGGCAGATGCGCGGAAACTCCAACAGGTGGCTCCGTGGCGCAATGGATAGCGCATTGGACTTCTAGAGGTTGGAGGCATTCAAAGGTTCCGGGTTCGAGTCCCGGCGGAGTCGGAGTGTTTTTAAAACTCTCAGGAAGGTTGATTTTTTTACTTCTACCTTTGTGTTCCTTTTCTTAGTTGCCTAAACACCCTGGACTCCCAGCCCAGCCGCAGGACGCCTCCCTCTGCTGCACAACCCTCAGCTGCAGCTCCCGCGGCCAGCGTTCCTCCTTAGCCGACCCGGCCCATCCCCGTGGGGAGAAGAGGAAAAAGGGGGACAGTAGAGAAGCGAGGACTCGGTGTGGGCCTCTGAGAGCGTGGGGCAGTCCTGGCTCTCGCGTGACAACCCACGCCTGGAGCTTGACAGTGTCCGCCAGCAGGGTAGAGGAAGCTGGCTGCTCAGGCTAGCCCAAGAGCGTTCTAAGTGCACACGCCCCTCCCGCAAATCTCGAGTGGATCTTGTAAAAAAAAATACAGACCTCAGTCGTCACTTCAGGATGTCATTTCGGTGGCTCTGGGAAGAGGCCCAGAAATCTGCATTTCTGGGGGTGACTGCTCTCTTCCTCCACGATTTTAGTGCAAAGAGTCGCAGTGGGCACTCACTGCCTGCCAGCTCCAAACAGGAGTCACTACTGTCTTGTCCCCTTGTGACAGGTCTAACGTTGCACAAGGTTAGTTCCACTTCGCCAAATACAAATAAGCGTAGGAATGAAGGGAGTTTTAAAAATATATATTGTATAGACAAAACATTAAAAATTCAAAATCGTCGATAAATGTCCAGGACAGAGTACACAACCTTGTTAATCCTGTATCTGAGACTTGAAATTCTCCCCACCAGCCAGTAGTAACAATGGCTGCTCTCAAAAGTTTGCAAATCTTTTAAAATGCAGAAGCTAGGACTTGGTTGGTTGGTTGGTTAGTATTCCTGGTCATATGTAATATAAAACACATTTTGCTGTTATGTTACACCTATTTCAGTTTATACAGGTAGAGCTGCCTTGTGCCGTTGCATCCTATTAATAGCCCCTAATACTTAGACATTTAGACGTCCATTATTTTCCCATTAGGATGCTTCAGTGAACACCGTTCTCGTTGCACAGTTGCATCTTTTCGATCGCTGGGAAGTTGTGTTGCTAGCTCTAAGGTTTGGTCCAGCATTCCTAATCCGTACCTTCTTTGGTAAGGTTTGGCAGATTCCTTCATAGACTCTATTCTCCCCAGCGGTGTGTGAGAATGCCAGTTTCCCCACAACCCATTACCAAACACTGGAAACTAATCGTAGCTTTAAACCCGTGGTTTTTTAATTATGCGTGACTCTTGAGCACTTTTCCATACATTAGGTGACTTGTATTTCCTTTTCTGTGACTTATCTGTCCTCACAGTGAGCTCATATTTCTCATGTGTCACGCACACCTGCTTAGGGTGGCTACAATAAGAGTAATGTCTTTATTAGTTTGTAGTTTCTTACCTATGAAAGAAGACAGCCTTATGTTTACAATAAGTGTTATTTTCCAGGCTACTTATGCTGGTTTTATTTATGAAACTTTATTTTCATCTCACAGAAATTTATATGTTGTAATTTATTAGTGTTTACTAGCTTCTAGGTATGAAGGTCACCAGACTGTTAAATAATTCCCTGTAGTGGTTTTAGTTTTAAATCTTTGCTCCATCTGGAAAATCTTTTGTAATCGAAGTTCTACTCCAGACTTGGTGATGAGCCCGCTCTCTCTTCCATACTAATTTGAAATGCCACATTTATCATTGTCTAAATTTCTGTATATACTTTGGTTTCTGGATTTTCTAGTTTGCTGCATTGGCCTGAAATTTTTATGTGCTATTTTACAGTCTAGTAAGGTTAGGGGTTCGTTATTTTTTTTTAAAGATTTCCCCTTCATAGTCATGAATTATTCATTAATATAATACTTAATAATAAAGTAGTTTGGCTATGGCTACACATGCTGTGATTTATAAACTATAAACAGTTTCCACGTGTTTGATAGCATGTGAGCTGTGGGTAAACACAATTCTCACACATTGCTGGGGGAAGGCACTAAAATGAGTAGCCTCTAGTTGGGATGTTAGAAATCTTTTGTTTCTGTAACAAAATAAGGTAAACAAATGTAAGTTTATTTTGACTCAGGGATTTTGAAAACAAACTACCACGTGACCAAGGAAACAAAAGGCAAATTCTGGTCCCTTAACTGTGTTCATTGCAGGTATGTTCTCAGCAGTTTCTTCATAAAGCTACAAGGCCGGAATGTTTACAGACGTAGGAGTTGCTTATGACCTCACCAGCTGAGAACTGTGGGGACTGAGGAGGTTACACAGGAGGAAAACAAGGAGAAACTGTTACTAAGGGGAAGTCTTCAGCCCCTAAGCTTCTTGAGTAAGCCTGCAGATCACCTTGGCTGCTGGTCAGCAAATCACTGCATTTGCTCCTCATTGACTCACTTTGAGAATCACACAGCTGAGCAGTATATATTGCTGCCTTATGACATGCAGGTTATGTAACAGATGCAGAGACTTGAACTTTTGCTAAGACAGATTTTTCAGTTGAGCCTACTACAACTACCCGATGGACAAACACAGTCAAAGGCTTGGCATCTGTCCTCCTACAGTGTCTGTCCTTTCCGCTGTCTTAAATCCTGGGCCAGTTCTACATTAGATAAACAGTCATCGTTTGAATGAAATGCTTTTCCTAGACTAGTATGTCTGTCTGTCTGTCTGACTGTGTTTTTGTGTGTGTACACCCAAGAAGCATATCTTTTGAATTTTGTTGGAAGTAATGGACAATGACCAGACCATAGTCCATCCCAGAAGAATCAAAGACCTGCTGTTTTATCCTGTTGAGCGAGCAGCTCAATCACTTCTTTGGTTAGCGTCCTTCTATTCTTACATGCGAGTCAATAAATGGAGCCTTGCCTCACCTGTCTGTGCTCACCATGTACATGGAGCCTGGCTTGGAGGCACAGGTTTTTGAATATGAACTACTCAAGGCTGAGGCAAGAGCATCACAAGGGTCAAGGTCTTGTAGAAAGACCCTGCCTCAGAAGTCTAAAGAGGGCTGAGGATAAACTCAGAGCATGTGCACTATCCAGAAATCAAAAAGCAAATATTATGACTTGGTCTCATTTCTGTTGTTCCCAAGCTGTAAATCCTGCTATCCCATCTCAGTTTTAGTCCATGGTTACTTGGATACTTGAGTGTATGTACTGAGACAGAACATCACACCCAGAGCATGTGTGAAACAAAGCAGGTCACATCAGCAGAGGCAGGGGCTGGGGTAGCGGAAACAAGATAATGGACTACATAGAAGCATGTCCCCAAGGACCGGCTCTCAACAAGGTCCTAAGTTTCCACCATCTTCTAATAATGTATCCAAGGACTAATCCATAGACTGATCAAAGCCTTCATGATTAGTCTTCTCCCCAAAGCTCCACATTTATTTAGACATCAACTATGTAGCTGGGGATAACCTTAAACTCTGATCCTCCTACATCTACTTCCCGAGTGCTAGGGTTACAGGCATGTGTCACTAGTTCATGTGATATCAGGGATCATGCTAGGCAAGCCCTATTTACATTTATTGGCCTCTACTTGCTGGCCTCAGTGGTAAACGGGCCCTTGAAAGCCCGTCAGTGAATTACTAAGCGTTGGGAGCCCACCTGATGAGCACCTGTAGAAGCCCTTATTGCTCAGAACTGGAGAAGCAGCTGGGAGTGGTGGAGTACTTTGATCCCAGCTCTTAGGAGCCAGAGTCTGGTGGCTCTCAGAGCTTGAGCCCAGCCTGAGCTGTCTAGTGAGTTCCAGGACAGTAACAGCTGCATTGTGAGACCCTGTCCAAAACAAACAATCAAAGCCCCAGGGCCATATTCCAAATGTTTCACACAGCATTGTTGAGTCCACACTCAAGCCATGGGGCAATGCTGAATAGTTTAGTTGGGGAGCGTGATGTGTTTTGTTATCATTTCTCTGCTTCAGTGTAGACCGAGGACTAAGACTATTAAAGACAGTGTTGAGAGCTGGAACCAGGTGGGTGGTTGAAGAGAAAGCTGAGAATATAAACTAGAGCTGTTTCCCAGGACAAACAGATGAGCCCTGAACTGAGGGATGCAGGAGAGCAGAAGCAGCTAACTAGAGTGCCAGAGATCTGCTGTTTCTACTGAAGCCAGTGGATGAACGCTGACATAATGCGACAAAATGTAAGAATGCAGGAACGGGTGGGTATGAGTTCAGATGTGTGTGTGATTGAGGTTTCTGGGACGTCCTGGAGATGCACTGTTGGTGCTTAGACATGTCTGTGATGTTTACAGAATGGAAGAAGATGGCAAGGAAAGGTTGAAGACGTCATGAAAAGGTTACACTAAGACAGCTGCAGGCTCCGGATGACCTTAATGGATCTACTTCACACCCAGTTGTAGTTGTCGGACTTTGTTAGTCATTAATTCTAATAATTGTTCAGTGAATTAAATTTTGTGCACATTCACTAAACCAGGACAGTTTCATCCATTATGCAAATACCGATGGCCCCTGACAAGTCTGACTCCCACCTGATTGCAATGGAGAAAGCAACTTGGCATTGAGCAGAAACTACTTTTCCTGGGCTAGTGACGATTGTCATTGTGCTGGGCGGATGAGCTAATCAAGGCATTAGATTGTGCACCTGTAACTAACACACCTTCTGAGCACTTCAGGGAAACAGGTAAGGCTGTATTTGGTACATTAGATCAAATGCATCTTCAATTTAAACTACTTTCACCTTACTGTTTATTAGTATAGAGCCGATCCTAAGTTGAAGTACACATATTTGTAGGTCAGGATGAGAGACCAAAAGAAGTTCCAGGCCGATGAGATAGGTGAATAGGTAAAGCCTGTGGCCAGGGCCTGAGTTTGATGCCTGGGACCCACATGGTGAAAGGAGACTCACCATTGTCCTCTGACCACCATACAAGAACATGCACATGCCCCATACACATTCATAAATAAAAATGTAATAAAGAAAACCCACACTGAAGTTTCTACCTTTGTAACAGGACCCCAGATCTTAACATAACTGACACCATGATGGAAGTATCATTCAGGCCTTAAAATGTAACATGTAGGTAGGCAGCAACACGTGCCAAGATGAGAATAAAGACCTAATCCATCGAAGTCCATAGTTCTGAGAAGTCCCTAAATGTACTTAACCTTACTTTATGGCTTCTGTAGTTGCCCATCTGGCCAACTGAATTGTGTCAACCCAGGATGTGGTTTTTATGTTTAAAAGCTCACTCTGAGAAAGGCTCAGAACTGCACTGGGGTCCCAAACACCCAATGTAGTCACCAGCCGGCTAATAAAGACATTCTGTTGGCTTGAAAGCGTCTTCTCTAGTGGACATTTTGCAATACCTTCTTATAATTACAGTGCTTTTAGATATTATTCTTTACAGTTTGGAAGATACTAGTTTTTTGGGACAGCATTGCATATAAAACAAATTCATTATGTAGTTGAATCGATTTTCAATACCTGATCCCCCTGCCTCCACTTCCAAGGTGCTAGGATTTAGGCTTGTACCATTGCTCTTTGTAAGATTTAAAAATTTGCAAAGCTCATATTCAATTAAGAATGAATGCTAATAGGTGACTTCAGATTATTTTTAGGTAATCTCAGTTTACTTGATGGAAGTAATGATTTTTGTTAAACATTCCCTACTTTATACAAATGAAGTGGAAAATAAAGGAACTTTCCAATGCAGTAACCAAATCCCTGATAATCAACTTAAAGGGAGGAAAGTTTCATAGGTTATTATCTGAGTCACTTTGGGCCCACAGCAAGGAAGTCCATAGCAGGAAGGCAATGTGTAGGAGCAAAGCAGGCCATCTCATGGCTGCAAATAAGTTTCCAGACTTGACTTCTTCAGGCCTCACCTCATAAGGTCCTCCCACCTCCCAAAGTACCACACATAGGCCTTGGAAGTATATTTAAGACATACAAGTTGCTTATTAAAAAGTTTTTAAAATAAACCAATGGAGAAAAAAAAAGCATCAGTGGAATGCAACTACACATACATACTAAAAAGTTCGTTTTGAAGCAAAGAATTATTCAGCCCATTCTAGCATGCATGGGACAGAAAATCAAATGCCAGCAGGTTGCCCCTTGAGCCTTAGACAAGAAATGCTTACTAAGAGTCTCCTGGAAGATGTGTAACGACACATCTTCTTGACCCTTCTTACTTCTCCGCTATGCAATCCATTTATCACAGAGGCAACATACATTGTTAAAATAGGTTTTTTTTTTCCTTTTTGGTTTTTTGAGACAGGGTTTCTCTGTATTGTTTTGGAGGCTGTCCTGGAACTTGCTCTGTAGACCAGGCTGGCCTCAAACTCACAGAGATCCGCCTGCCTCTGCCTCCCGAGTGCTGGGATTAAAGGCGTGCGCCACCAATACCAGGCTGGTTTGTTTTCTTAATGAATCGTAGATGCAAGCTAGGTTACTTGTGACCCCAAGGTAAGTATAAGATTTCATAATTACTGAAGCCTGGCGTTGGTGGCGCACGCCTTTAATCCCAGCACTTGGGAGGCAGAGGCAGGCGGATCTCTGTGAGTTCGAGGCCAGCCTGGTCTACAAGAGCTAGTTCCAGGACAGCCTCCAAAGCCACAGAGAAACCCTGTCTCGGGGGAAAAAAAAAATTTCATAATTACTGAAATAGAGGTCGAGTAAATAATAAAGGAGTTCTATCCAACAAGCATCTAGCAGGAATGAACAGCAATCCTTGGGTACCAGAAATCAGGTTAGCTTGGGTGCCTGCCTGAGCTGTTGGAGGAGGTAAACTGGGTCATTTGACCTAGTGAAAATCCTGTTTTGCTTAGTAGAATCATTCCTCCCATTTCAGTAAGAAAAAAAATGCCAGTCCTTTTGCATCTTCCACTTTTATCCCAAATATTCCAGAGAAGCTTCTGTACTTGGTGTCTTTGAGCTTCACAAGGTTCTCTTTCTGCATGTATTTCATGTGTGCTCCAGGAACACTTTTACCTTACCACCCCACACTGTAGCTTGTACACTGGGAGAAAGTAAGCATAAACCGTCTACATCGTGTACACACACACACACACACACAGTTTTTATATTTAGACATTTTGATCACTTCAAAAAGTTCTTTGAACACACTGCCTATTTATGTCCTGATTACATTTTCTTTAATCAAATGCTGAAAACTGGACATACTAAAATAGTTGATATTCATTTTCCCTTTAACAGTCTACACCCAGACACATCACCTATACACACCTATTCTATTCCAAGGGGCACATCATTGATTTTGTCAGTCAGCTTTATTTCCAAACAGAAATCACTATTTATCTATATATTATTTATATAAATTATGTGATGAGCTTCAGAAAATAAAGGGGATCTATAAAATGCTTTGTGGATCTTAATTGCGAAATTTCTTCTTTTTCCGGAACTTCTTTCCTGCTGCATTTGCTGCCTTTTCAGCCATGATTTCTGAATACTTCCTTCGGTTAAATCTGAAAGAAAACACAAATCTTTATGCTCTAATCTACAGCACAATGTATCAGGTATATCAGGGTTAGCAGTTGATATAGCTTTAGGAAGAGCTACAACTCAAAATGCTCTGTGCTGAGCTGCCTTGTATAAATCACATTGCCACCAAATGTCAGGAAGCTGAGACAGCAGTGGACAAGGCAGCAACAGTCTCTGTCCTCAGAGTTGTCATTTGTTTTATTTAGGTTTTGAGATGGTGTCTTGCAATGGCTGGCCTCGAACTCACAACCTTCCTATGCATTGTACTTACAGAGTTTGTATTTAAAGACTGATATCAATTTACCAGGTGACGTTGAACCTGGGTATAATAAATGTGGGATAATGCAAAAAAGGACAAAGCAAAACAGTTTCTACTTAATGAAAACAATATTGATGACATTTCTTAGAACCTCAAAGTCAGGCACACTGGCACACTTGGGAGGCAAAGGCAGGGATCTCTAACCCAGGACAGACAGAGCTACATAGGGAGAGAGACCCTGTGTGTCAACTGCCCCTTCCCCACAAAAACAAAGAGCAATGACTTTAAGTCTGCTTTCCAGAAACAAGGTCTGTTAGGTAACAGTGACTATCCCTTCTCACCTCATTCTCATGGGGGAACACACGCAGTTTAAGGGCTACATGACATAGGGTTTGCAGAAACAGATGAGGATCTAACTATGCCAAATACTAAATTATCTTTGTTTTGTTATTCTTATAAAAATGTAATAGAGAACCTATAAGCTGTGTTTAAAGAAAATGTAAATTACCTCCTGAACTCAGAGTCAGCCAGCAGCTCTTCCACAATAGTCTTTTTCCTTTGTTTCTTGGGAACTCTTGAATGGTAGAAGTCAGCTGGATTATCTACGATGGTTCCAACCTAAGAAAAATTGATTGAAATAAATCACGCAGTACCTAGATGTTAAGTTGCTCCATATTTCAGTGTAGGTCTAAAGGTCTTTGTGGAAAGGAATGGAAAGCACAAGCTTACATTACACATGCATTAGTTACGCCAAGTTTTTAAAGGCAAAAATAAATAACTATTGGCTAGTACACTGGTGCTACTGATGACCTTTCCCCATTAGAGCACAGAGTGGATCCAACATGTTAGTGCTCAACAGTAAATTCACGATGAATAGCACACTATAATATAAACTGTGCTTTCTAATTCAGTGATGTACATATAAATTCTACACGCCTATTTGATTTTAAAGATTATCACAAACACTGCCAGATTAGTAAAGGTTCTACATTTATCCTCAACTGACTCAAGTTTATAGGATTATTACTATGTGCAGGCACTGTGCTTAGGTGATAAGGAAAACAAGCTGAGAACATCTAGTAAGGAGCCACAATCTTAAGGCAGAGCCAAGCAGAAACTAAAAAGACATTACAGCACAATGCTATACACAGAACAAAACACTATACATGGCTCTGAAGACCTAGTGACCAGGTTTGCTAACGGAGGTAAGAAGGACAAAGATGACATTTTAGCTAGGCTCTCTATAGATAAAAGTTCACCAAGCAAACAAGGGAGAGTCAGAAAGCCATGAAGACTGAGTAGCTGAGTGGGCGTGGCTCAAGAGGACTCAGTAACAAAGCACTGGCAAGCTAGTGTGGGTGCGGAGCATGAAAGTCCAAAGGAAGTGACTCGTTTCTCAGAAGTGTAACATGAAAACAGTTGTGTAAGTCAATTACAAAATACAACACTAGCTACAGGAGGCCAGAGGGAAAGAAACTTGGAAACTTATAATAAGCCGAGAAAGGGGTTGAGAAGAGTGGAAACAGGATCAACTTGCTCACTCGTAGGAGACACTGAAAAGCAACTTTTGTCCAGGGACGCCTTGAAAAGAGAAAAGGAAGGGAACAAATAATTTCCTTTCTCTCTACATCTTGCATGAGGTTTTGTGCTTAAGTTAGAACTAGCCATACATACAAAAATTCAGTGAGTTTAATTGACCTTGATCCCAGCTGCCATTTTTAATCTTGCCCCTCTGTACTGAGGACCCATTATAAAATGGTGGCCGTCTGAGTTGTGTTCTAGTCATTCATTATAAAGCCTAAGCGGCCCCTGGCCACAGGCTTGGTGTGCACATGTAAACGCTCTTTCATTCTGCTGTTACTCTCCAGAGAACATAGCTAGTGTTCTGCTTGTGTACCTGGAAGTACTTGGGGAAACCATCTCTGTCATTTTTCTTGTAGAACCTTTTTGGGTCCATGCTTGCTCTCATCTTCAATGCTTTGAGATCGTTTTTCAGTTCATCTGTCAGTTCCGGAGCTTTCATGCCAAACCAACCATTGCCAGCTGTTTTTTGTCGCTCTTTCTGAAATACAAGTTGTAAAATAAACATTAAAAACTTGTTTTACTTATGTGTATGCACATATACATGTCTATGCAGGTGCCCAGAGTGAAAAGAGGGAAGGTTTCCTGAACTGCAGCTAAAGGCATGAGCAGCAAGTGTTCCTGACCACCAAGCCGTCTCTTCCCTAAAACTAGACACACTGCCTCCTGTGTGTGCGATAAAGGCGACCTCCCTACAATTATAAAACAAAGTTGTGTGGGTGTGTTGGGTGTGTTAGTACATAGGTTAGTACATGAGGCTGAATGATTGTAAATTCAAGATGCCAGCCTGGGTTACCCATTCTGACTTTGGGAAGGGGGCATTTACAAGGGCTGGGATGGAACTCGGTAGAATTCTTGCCCAGCATACATGAAACCCTGGGTTCACTCCAGCACAGCATGAACTGGGGATGGTAATGCACACTTGTAACCCTAACTGCTTAGCCAACCCAGGATATGTGAGACACTGTCTCAAAAACAAGCAAGCGAAACAAACAAACCAAAAACAAACAAGTGGAATCCTTATAAAAAAGAATTAAGTCAAAAACAAAATAAAATAAACAAAAAAACAGCCGAAACCTCAAAACATTTCTTTGACATGGCCCCATCAATTTCATAAATGATAACTCCATTACTTTTGTTTTTGTCTAGGAGCACATACGAGAGATAATGTATAAAAACATTTTACTTTAGGAACTGGTATATAAACAGTTTTTTTTATTCAGTTACTTAAGGGCATGAGAAACTACTTATCTCTCAACAAGCCCAGAATTTTATATTATATCCAAAATAAAACAAAATTACTATTCTTTGAAAACTCTACCAAGCATTTTGTTTCATCCATCTATAATAATTTAGTACCTGCTACATGCCAGTGTGCTCCATTATTAGCCGGTAACTGATCATGAGCTCAAACAGTAAAACAACAGGTTTGCTTACATTCCCTCCTTTGCCAGGCTAAGTGGATCAGTTTGAAGTTGTTGTATTGACTCTGGGTAATGGAGTGCCTAGCCTTCAGTAGGGTAGGTATACAGAAGCAGAATGATGTGGATGGTGAGCCTGTATGCTGCTGTCACTGTTTAAGGTGTAGTTTTCAAAGCTGTATTTGTGGGCAGAAGGCATGACTCAGTGACAGGGCACATGCTTACACAGGGCACATGACCCCAGGGTTCACTCCCAGGCACTAGAACAAACAAAACCAAAAACTGTATTTGTGCGCAAAGATGCGAAAAGCCACCCTAAACATGATGATGGAACTACAGTGATGGCCCTTAGTGTCTAAGAATTCTGATCCTATCTATAATGGATGAACAGAGATGGAGCTTAATTGCACAATCACAGTACTACATACCCTGAAAGTACAAAGGCAAAGCACATGAGCGATATGAGTAACAAGTCCTACTTACCCTGCGCTGTTTCTGAAGTTGATGCTTCGATTCTCTATAAGGTGGGATACAATAGTTTTTTTCAAAATCAGGTGTAATGACAGCTTTCTGAAGAAGCTAGAAAAATACAAAATTATCACTTATTTTTCTTCCCCATTTAAACTTAGGCTTTTAAATTTTGTGTAGGCAAATCCACTAATCTATTTCTAAATGTTTTTTTGCACTTTAAAGAGATACTTGCTGCCAAATCTCCTGGCCTTGCTCTTGATCCCTGAACCAATGATTGGGGGACACCCAGCTACTGAAAGTTGTCCTCTAATCTTCCCATGTAAACCACGGCACAAACGTGCCCCCCCCACAAGACAAATACATGAATGCTTACAAAAATGACCCTTCAGTCCTTAAGTGGTAGATGGAAATAATAGTAATAATAATGCAGATCTTGAATTAGTTTGTTTCAAGTATCATCTCTTACAGATAAAACTCCATTCACAAAAGTAACTATTCCAACAAGATTGAAAAGGAGTACAACAGACATACAGTTTTACCATAGGGAAAGTAGCCATTTTCCCAGGACTAAAGAGGATGGAATAGTTCATGTAGCTTACCTCGTTTTTCTTTTTCTCCTTGACCTGTGTTAGGGTTTTCTTGTGAGGCTGCGGTTTGTCTACATTGAAATTAATATACAAACCACCCAGCTGCTTGATATTTAGTCCAGGATCTATGCTGCTACTTGTCAACTTCAAACTGAAAGAAAAAAGATGACTTAAAAGTCAAGTCATTAAGACAAAATGGAACCAAGATTGGATGTTAAAATCACACATGAATATAGAGCATTACAGTATAGTTCCTAAAACACTGAATAAACATGTGTATCTCATACATTTACTTAGACTACAGTCTAGGATGAATAATGAATCAACATGGTTGGAGAAGACATCCAAAGAGATTCCCAAGATTTTCTAGGATTAAGCAAATAACATGCCCACAGATTTCATAAAGAATTGGAAGAAAAGCCATTCAGTTGAATTTCACACACTGTATCTCTACACCAGGAAGAAAGACCAGCTGACCTGAACTTAACTTTAGAATTCTTTACTAGGTAGATCAGGTGTGGTGCAGGACTCTAGTCCCAGTCCTTAGGAAGCTCACGAAGAAGGATTGTGCATTCCGGTCTAATGTAAGCTACAGAGAGAGCGTGTGTGAAAGAAATTCCCTGCTGGCTGAATTAATGGCAGTATTTCTAAATACGTCCCAGGTGGCAATGAGCATCAATCCTATGGAAGCAGAAAAGAGATGGCATCCTCTAGACCACTAACCCAGCTTCTTCCACATCTGGTCTCCCCTCCAATCTTATTTTTATAGTGGCCAAGAGTCTTTCTTTTATAAGCAAGAACAGTCAGACTGAAAGTCAGTTTCTGCTCTGATCATTCCCATAAACCATGTAGTGTAGTTCCAAGTGTAATCAGCCTCCACTGGAAAGTAGACTCTTTGTATTGCAATGCCTTGGCAGTGGTTCTTATACTGGAAGGAGGTTTTAAAAAACAAACAACACAAGCATTAGCCAGGCATGGCGATGCACACCCCCTGCCCCTCAAAACAAGAGGCTATTACACGACTCACAGTGGCCCACCAAGAACTAGATATTAAGACCTTACTGGAGGCCGGGTGGTGGTGGCCCACGCCATTAATCTCAGCACTCAGGAGGCAGAGACAGGCGGATCTCTGAGTTCCAGGCCAGCATGGTCTACAAAGTGAGTTCCAGGACAGCCTCCAAAACAATACAGAGAAACCCTGTCTTGAAAAGCCAAAAACAAAAAACAACAACAACAAAAAAAACCCCAAAAACCAAAAACCCCCCACAAAAACAAAAACAAAAGACCTTACTGCTGGCTGAACGGTGGGGCACGCCTTTAATCCCAGCACTTGGGAGGCAGAGGCAGGCAGATCTCTGAGTTTGAGGCCAGCCTGGTCTATATATATATAGCAAGTTTTAGGACAGCCAGGGGTACAGAGAAACCCTGTCTCAAAAAAACCAAACAACCCTCCTGCTTAAGGTATCACAGGCTTTGGTTACAGAACAAAGAAATCAAACTGAAGCTGTTGGCTAACTTTTATAGCGCTGGAAGGTACTATATAGGCTGGGGAGAAAAGTTGTCAGTGGTCTTACCCAGCTGTAGACCCCACATGCCAGAGAAGCTATACCTGCCTGTCTACTGGTGCACTGTTATAAGGGTAACCAAGGCCCACTTACAGGAATTCAGACCTGGCACTGTAAACTTCATCAGAAGCCTGTAGTTGGTTACAGGCCCTAGTGGGGAAGCTACTCTTGCTAGACAAGCTAAATTCATTAAAAATACCTTCTAAAGCCGGGTGGTGGTGGCACACGCCTTTAATCCCAGCACTCGGGAGGCAGAGGCAGGCGGATCTCTGTGAGTTCCAGGCTGGGCTGGACCAATATCCTCCAAAACAATACAGAGAGACCCTGTCTCGTAAAACCAAAAAAATAAAAATAAAAATACCTTCTAAATATTTAGGTTTATACTCAGGTATGGTGAGATGCATTTTTTCTTTTTTTGCAGTGGGTAGCAGTTACTACTAAGACTCAAAACTGGTCAAAGTGCTGAGAATAACGGTCTCAGGATGCTTGTTGCTAAGTGAGGCACCTCTATCATCCCACCATCCCTTCCAAAGCTCAGGGAACACTGCAGAAGGGTGAGCAGAGAGCATGTCCAAGTCAGAGGAAGGGGGCAAGGAGCACTGATGTGGACACTGTTCTCTGGGTACGACAGGGGACTCACAGCAGCTGCTGATCACCTGCACACCACTGGACCAATCAGCATTTTGTAATGAGAGGCCCCACCTCTCCCTGAGGACCTAAAGGCAGTTAATGGTTACTGGGGAAGGAAGAGGCATTTACTTTAATGGTATAGCACTAGTAAGCTTCCCACGAGCCTGTAAATAACCGCTGACCCATACTCCTGTAAGCAATTAATCTTGTGGGTCGCCTATGTCCCCAGAAGACATGAAAGTAGACAGAGGGCTGGCTGGGGAAAAGGGCATCCGTGGGAATGATGGGAGGCTGAGGAGTATGAGGGGTAATTACACCTCAAAATACACTATATACACACATACAGAAACATCATAATGAAACATTATTATATACAATATATACTAATAAAATTACTTTGGGGGTTGAGGTACAGCTCAGTAGCAAAGGACATGCTTCTCACGCTGAGGCCACAGGTTTAACCCTTAGCCTGCTCTCTCCCAGTTACTTTCAAAGGCAGTACTTACAGCTTGGACTTGGTGTTACTCAGTAAGTCTTCCTCATCACTGGACTCGTCTTTATTTTCATCACTGTCTGATGATTCTTCTTCCTCACTGTGTTCAACTTCTTCCTCCTCCTTTTCTTCTTCGTCAGGAGCAACTTCACTGGGGGTCTTGTCCTCCAGGTAAAAACTCTTGTCGGCACTCAGTCCAGGAGTTCTGTCGATTACAAACAGTGCACCACCACACGCTGAGTCTTCCAAGTCTCCTCCATCTGGCGACTCCTTGTGGCCACTGCTTTCAACAGAGCACACAGTGTCCTTCTCATTCTCACTGTTTTCAGACTGTTGGCTCTCATCACTGCTAAGAAATAATAAAACGGAACTATCCATATCCTGAGACAGGTTGAGTTCAGACTTGCATACTTTGGTGTCGCATTCAAGACCCACGTCACTTTGGCTGCTGGTGTTTTCCCTGACATCTACACTTAGAGGCTCATCATTATCATCACCACAATCACCGAGCTGTGTCAGCTCACTCCCTTTTAGGCTGTCTACTCTTTCTTCAGTCAACCTTTCTATTTTCACAACTGCAAACTTGTGCGCTAATGACTTCATTATGGCCTCACGATGTGGACTTGGACGCTGCGGCATGGCTTCATTATTTAGGGTGCTTGAATGATTCTGAGAAACTGACTGCTGAAGACTGGTGTCTTGAACTTCAGAAAGATTCAACTGGGAACCTTTCTCATTAATTTCTTTTTCCTCTAATATTTTGGTGTCCTCTTCATCCAGGCTCTTACAATTCTCCTTCCCGATTTCTTTAAGAGACACAACACTGGCTTCTTGTTCTTCTTGTGTATATAAACGTTGGTGGGTTTGTGTTTTTTGTTTTTTTTCTTTATTGCTGTGGATGGAATCATCAAAGTCATTATTGTAAGTTTCATTATTAGAGAAATTTGGCCTATGTATCTGAGAATGTGGTCTCGCTGGTAACTGAGAGGTCTGTCTAGTATCTGAGTCCTGTGAATTCACAGATGTGCTCACGATTTGCTTTTTATTTCCCAGTACAATCTTAGTATCTTTCTTCTCAGCTTGGAACTGTAATTTCTTCTGCGTATTCCTGGCTGTTCTCCTAGGTGAAATCTCAAATGATGAAATGCCCGAGCATGAGGACTCACCGTCAGATACAGCTTCTGTCTGTGACTCTTGGCTTGAACCTCTCTGAGATTTAGCCTTACTTCTTCTGCTTCTTTCTGTGGGAGGGACAACCATCGAAACCCCCGAAGCATGGGACTCTGCTTCAGAGACAACTTCTTCATCAAGAGGCTCATGCTGATGGGCTACTTTCTGCCTTTTCCTCACACTGGACTTCGGGGTGGGTGTGACTACGACCTGCCTCTTCCTAGTTATTCTTATAATGGGCTGCTGGGCCTTGAGCACAGAAGAAACCCCCGAGGCATGGGACTCTGCTTCAGAGACCTCTGCGTCAGTGGTCGGTTCAGCTATCTCTGCTGGGGGGCCTGCATTCTTGCTTGTCCTCTTTCTAGAGAGGACCCCACTTCCTTTCTCAGCAGCGCTTCTGACATCGGATCCTGATTCTTTCTTGCTTTCCAGCTGTGTCCCAATTCCTGGAGGAGCAGAACTCTGCAAACCAAAAGCAAACGCAGTATAATTTAGTTAGCGCGGGGACGAGAGCAGGCAAACGCGGCAGAACGCAACAGGTGCTAAGGAGAGCCAGACTCACTTGCCCCATCCTAGACTTCAGAAAGCAGAACTGAAAAGAGCATTTTCTCCACTTGGGAGAAATCCAAGTCATTTATCGAGGCCCAGGGGGCAGGGGGTTAAGTACTAACTGAGCGAATACAATGTGTACTCATTTAGGAGTGTACAAAGGAATCCGCTGCCTGCCTGCGTCTTCACACACAGGAAAGGGCTGCTTTGCATCCTTCAGCACTCACTCTAAAGAGCATGGCAGCCGGAGACAGTCGGAGGCTCTCAGAGCCACCACAGCCGCCCTTAATAAGTCCCCACGTGTGGACGACGCTCCCTCCCATCCCCGACACAAGGCTGGGGGGGCGGTGGCAGGGATTTACCCTCCCTGGTATCGTCGCTTTAAAGGACTCATCTGCACAAGGCAGGCGACCTACACTCTCGTGCGTACCCTGAAGACGCCGAGGCCCGAACCCTCCTCACCCTCCCCCGCCCCGCCGAGCCTCCTCGCTCTCCTCCACCCGGCCGAGCCGCTGTTAGCGGCGAGGAGACCCGGGGAGCCCGGGATTGCTCACCTTCTGCTGGGAGCTCTCTGACGCTACTTGGGGCCTGGTCCCAGACAGCCCGGACCTGGTGACCACCATGTTCCCGACTCTGTATTCCCGGGAGCCAGTGCAACTTCCGCTGTTCCCATGCTCCGGAAGTACGTCAGACAAGGGCCTCGCTTACGATTCCCTGCGGTAACTGAGGCTCGGGAGAATGGTTCCCAGCCACGCCCTGCTGCAGTTCTATAAGTAAGATTTCGAGATTTGATTGAGGTACAAGGATGTGTGTTAAGTGCACTCAGGATCTCAAAGAAATAGTTAGGAAACTCTGGATTTAACTAAGATGTCTCCGGATTTGAAGTAAGCTTAAAAAAATGGAGACGGAGAAAACTTTTTTTTTTGTAACCCTTGGAGGCAGGTACGCATAGTGACCAAGTTTTTTGTTTTTCGGGGTTTTTGTTTGTTTGTTTGTTTGAGACAGGGTTTTCTCTGTATAGCCTTGGCTACACTGGAACTCAATCTGTAGACCAGGCTGGCTTCAAACTCAGAGATCAGCCATCTTGGTCTCCCGAGTGCTGGGATTAAAGGTGTCTGCCACCACCGCCCAGCTATGGCCAAGTTTTGGTTGTTAGTTGTCTTAAAAACGTAAAACTCAAGCTTAAGTAAAGTGGTTTGTTTTCTCCTGGAGAATTCTAAGTCTGGTTTTCAAGCAGCCGTGGGAGCCACGATGCAGCCTGTGCTCCACACGCAGCACAAAAGTGAAGAACATGAGTTCTTGCTAATTGTGGACTGGAGTCCATCTCCTGTCTTTGCACTCCTTAAGACAGGCGAGCCTTAGTGAAAACACTGACAATAGGGCTGTTATTTTTCAGTTTAAAAGGGTTCTGTCTTGTTCTCTCAGCCATTTGGGGAAAGTTCACTGCATGATGTGAGTTGTTCTATGGTGAAGACTATGAAGGAAGTTTCTGGCCAAAACAGCCAGAGACAGATCTTCAGTCTGATGCACCATCTAGTGCCGGCAAGTAGAGCAGGGAAGGGCCGGTCCAGCTAGTCTCTTCCCTCTTCCCCGGGCTGAGCTGGATGGTGAGTGTTGACGACTCAGACCCCCTACCTCACCCCCCATCCCTGCACCCCGGGGAAGCAGGATCTCAATTTATTCCACAGGTATGAATTTATATAGGACTGAAGTAGGGGATGGGAATCATAGGATAACGTAATGTGACTGTGAAGAGTAAGGGCCAAGCAGGCAGGTAGCTAGGCAGGGGCAACTTTACATCAGGTCTGGCTGAGTCACCCCCACGTGGAGTTACAGGTCAGAGACAGGTCGCCAAACTCTAGCCAGGCTCAGGAGCTTACACTGGGCCTCACATCTGAACCCTAAACTCAAGTCAGGCTCAGGAGCTTACACTGGGCCTCGCATCTGAGCCTTTTTTAGGCCAGAAAGTCTACGAGTGGAATAATGTCATATGCTAAATGTAGACTTGATTCCATAAGAAACGCTCAAGCCAGGTATAGTAGTACATGGTTTACAACATCAGCACTTGTAATACTAATACAGGAGGACCCAGGGCAGTCTGAACTACATAACAAGATAGTGTCTCAAAAAAAAAAAAAATAGGAGGAAGGAATGCCCTGGTATTTTCCTTAATTACAGTTTCCACCTCATCAACATCTGAGTGTTACATTTGCATCGTGTTCTCACCAACGCTTCCTGTTGTCAGTCTTTACATTGTTTTCATTGGTTCAATCTGCACTTCCCTGATGATGAGAACACTGAATAACGTTGAACATCTTTTAACAGTTGCAAGGCCCTGGGTTCAATCTCCAGTACCATTAAAAAATAAAGATTGAATATGAAATGAATTTTCAGACAATCAGCACCACAAAGTTTGCTGCATGTGCTAGTCAAGCTGTTTGTTGCTGTGTCACAATTTCTGGTTTAAACAACTTCAGAGATTTATTTGGGTTCATAGTTCAGAGGTTGCAGTCCATGTCACTTTTTACTGTCCCTTTAGGCTGATGGCAAGACAAAATATGGTGGAGAGTCTGTTACAGCAAAATTGTTCACCACATGGTGGTAGAGATGCAGGGGCCTTCATCCCTCTTCAAGAATTCCTACTGGGCAGTGGTGGCACACACCTTTAATCCCAGCACTCAGGAGGCAGAGGCAGGCGGATCTCTGTGAGTTCAAGACCAGCCTGGTCTACAAAAGCTAGTTCCAGGGCAGCCTCCAAAGTCACAGAAAAACCCTGTCTCAACCCCCCCCAAAAGTAATTCCAATGACTTAGTTCCCACTAGGCCCTACCTCCTAAAGTTCTTACCTTATCCCTACCACACTGTCAAAAACCAGACCTCCAACACATGACGCTTTGCAGGGAATTTAAGATCCAAACCGTAACACACTACTCCAGAGATGCTAGTGAAAATTACTAAATGCACACACACACACACACACACACACACACAGCGAATCAAATGAGCACAATATAAGAATCTGGACTGAGCAAAGGGAAAAAAAACTGACTCAAAGTAGTAATTATTTTAAGATATGAACCACCTTATGTGATGGGAGGTGAACATACCAAATACATATATGAAGACATGCTAACAAAACACATCCTTTTTAAATTTCTGGCAATGGATATACAACCAAATCCTAACTGGGGCCGGGATAACAAGCTTTAGCCTCTTTTATACAATGTGACTTTTCCAACAGCACTCCACAGAACAAGCCTTTTGTATGTGCGACTGTGTATTTGTGTGTCTATACACGTGTATGCACAGACCAGAGGTGTACTTCACTGGGTGTCTTTCCCTAGTACAATCCACCTTATTTTTTGAGATAGGTCTAAGTGAACCAGAGCTTGCTGATTGACGGTGTTGACTGCTTCCCAGGCTAGGATTATCACTCCACCACCATGCCTGGCTTTTTATGTGGATGCTGGGAGTCCAAATTCACATCCTCATGCTTGCATATCCGGTATCCATGAAGCTACCTCCCCAGCCCCAGAATCAGCTTTTGAAGATGCTTTTATTGTACTGACATGTTTACATATAAATTGCTCATTTGATAAAATATTTGCAAATCAGGCAGATAAGGATCTCTACCCACAATGCTCAGCATACCTTGTTCCCACCTGAGCCCAAATGCTAATTCCTTTAGTTAAGTCTTTCCTGTCCTTACCCTCTCCCATAGCCACATCTCCTAATCCTTTCCCATCTCTGCCATCAACCAAGATAGCTCTTTATTGCTCTTCTTGACCCCATATCCTCCCTGTGAATACATTGTAAGCTCGTTAAAGATAAGATTATCTATGTCCATCTGTAGCATCTTGCACAACACACAGCACACTTCTCTGCTGAGTGAATGAATAGCTTTATGGTTTAGAGATCTTTCAATTAACTCACAATTTATTTTCAAATCATATGGTTGGGATTCAAAAGGCTCAAATCAATATGATGCTTCCAGATGTTCCCATTTTTCAAACAACTCAAAAAACATACAACTCACATTTTAAGTAAAATAAAAATTATCTTTAACAATGCCTTATATTTTGCTTTGGTACACTACAGACATGTGAGAGTTCATTATTCCCAATTTCTGTTTCCCTTAATCTGAAAACTATAAAAATATTGTTACATATTTTTTAAAAAAATCAAATTGATATATTTTTTCATCAATTTTACGATGAAAAGAGAGGTAATTTTGGAATATTGGAAATTAGTGTTGGAAATATAGGTTTAGAATCAAAAGCTGGTATATTTGAGTATGAGAACACAGACTGTAAAACTGATTTTGATTCTTTGAAAAAGTTCTCAATTTTCTATCCATACACTTAGCGGGATGAACTGCCAGCCATTATACACCAGGGTCCTGTTGCTTACATTTCAAAGATCAAAGTACTTGGTGGTGAGCCTAGGATGAAACACTCAGATAAAGACATATACTTAAGATGAGACTTAGAACTTCTGTCCCTGAAAAGCATAAGGTCCTAATTTTGTTACTACTTGGCCCTGATATAGAAAACTATTCATGCAAAATAGGTGAAATAGCTTTTATTAATTACCTGTGCAATACAGAGTAACTCTGGTTTTCACTTTAAATATTCTTAAATAATTTGTTTTTAAATCATACTGTTTAAATTCAAATTGTCCAAAATTAATGTGATCCTTGAGGTCTTTATGTTCCTACCATTGACAACCAAATAAAAGCATACAGGTCCCATGTCCAGATAACCATTTTTTCAGAACTGAAATCTATTAGCTATTTATGACTCATGGTCTATCACTTATTCATCTTTAAATGGGTAATGTATTAGTGTTCTGTCATCAATATGGTCTTCAGGGACAGGGCATGGTGGCACATGCCTTTAGTCTCACAGCACTCGGGAGAGGCAGGAAAATCTCTTTTGAGTTTGAGGCCAACCTGGCCTATATAGCAAGCTCCAGGACAACGAAGACCCTGTCTCAAAACAAACAAACAACTTTTGGTCTTTACAATATATAGCACATGGATCTAGCTTATAAGAGTCCTTGGTTCTTCCTGTGTCTACAGTCTCCTAGATGGAGATTCAAGGTGAACTCATGGAATAAGTCCCAAGTAACACAATGCTGCTGAATAAGGTGCCTCTTGATTTTGGAAACATAGTAAGCTAAAAACCTTTTTTGGGGTTTACTTGGAAAGAAACTATACACAAAATCTTTCTACCTTGGGTCACTGCATTCAAATATATCTGTCATACACACTATACGTAACTTAGCTTTTCGTTTTAAGCAGTTATTTGGGGAGTATTTTTGAAAGATTTGTGTGTATACCATGGGTGTGACTGGTGGCCCCAGGTCAGAAGGGGACACTGGATCCCCTGGAAGTGGAGTTAGAGTCACCGTGAGTCACCGTGTTGGTGCTGGGACCTGAATCTGGATCCTCTGCAAAAGCAGCAAATGCTCTTAGCCAGTGAGCCATCTCTCCAGCCCCCAAACTAATTTTTAAAGGTTACCCAGTAACTTAAGGATTGGAGTAAAAGAATGTGGAATGTTATTTTAACTGGGCAAAGATAACTTACATTTTGTTTATGCTGCATTTGTTTAATTATGTAAAGATGTGCTGCATTTGTTTCACCTTGCCTGCCTAAGGCAGCTGATTGGTCTAATAAAACGATGAATGGTCAAAAGCCAGGC